TAGGCTGGATTCTTGAAATACTATTGTTGTTGTTCAAGAAAACAGTCGTTCTACAATACAGTGATGATATTGTGGATATAAAATGCTTCCAAACTCTACATTTACTGATAGACCTGTCAATTTTGGGTTACGGGTCGGGTTGACCCGAACCCGAACTGACCCGTATTATTCGAGTTCGGGTTGACCCGACCCGGTTTTTGCAAACGGGTCAATTTTCTGGACCCGAACCCGACCCGCTTTGGGTTCGGGTCAACCCGGACCCGACCCACGTAGCCGCTCCGGGAAGAACGCGATGGCCGTGCCTGCGCTCGGGACACTGCCGTGGATCGCCGCGGCGTCGCCGTCCGCGCAGCGGAACGCGTTGTTTGGCGGGCAGCGGGCACTCAGTGCGGAGCTGGAGGGCAGGCGGCGGCAGCGGGGGGCTGTGCGGGCAAGGGGAACGGCAGCGTCGGAGGCAGCGAACTGGCGGGCGAGAGAAATTTGTATATATATATATATTTATAATAATCATCATCTTTTAAAAAGTTTTTCTCACAGCTCTACAATTACTTTACAAAAAGTTCCAGCTATTCCAAATGGACTATTTGTTTGCATCAACTGATGTACTTTTGTTGTTCCATGGAAGCAAATATTTCTTATAAATTTTCCCTTCCACCAGTGTGCAGTCATCCAGCTACCTACACAGACCCTGCTTCTCTCTGTGTCCGACAAAGCTGGCCGCTTGATAGGGATGCTGTTTCCTGGGGTATGTTTTTCCAGTTCTTTCAGCTTACTATTCTACTTACACCGCTTAGGGTTCGTTTGAGACAGCTTTTTAACTGCTTCTTAAAGTAGCTTTTTAGTACAAAAATTAATTTTTTTAACTAGAAAACGGCTTTAAGAAGCAAAAAAAAAACCGTCCCAAACGAAACCTTAATCTTTGAAAATCTTTGTTTCAGGATATGGTAGTTTTCAAGCCACAAGTACCAAACATTCAACAACAGCAACAGCTACTCCAGCAACAGCAACATCAACAGCAACTACAGCAGCTACAGCAACAGCAACAGCTACAGCAACAGCCTCAGCAACAACAACAGCTACAGCAACAGCCACAGCAGCAGCCAATGGTTGGTACTGGCATGAACCAAACATTCGTCCAGGGTTCGGTGAGGCCTCAAACCAAGCTTTCATCTTCAACTATGTCAAATGGGAGTTTTATGCCTTGATTTATTTATATTTTATCCTGAAGAAAAGGATTGTAAGTACAATAATGTTTGTCAACAACAAGAATGTGTTACAGTTGATACAGAAATCTTCCATGTTCAATATGTTTAGAGAACTTTTCTGAATTTATATTAATGAAGTACTTTACATAGGCTTTAGATCGATGTGCTCTTATTAGACTTTAATCTGAAATGAGCTGTAGTTGTTTTGGGATGAATTCTGATAGCTTTCAGGTAGGTTGTAATCAGGGGCGGAACCTTCTTGAAACCGGTGGGGTATTTACCCTCCACCCTAATTTTTTTTTAATTATTATATGATTCTTTAGGTAATTTGTCTTTTTAATATATATTTTTAGTCTTTATTACAAGAATTTTTAAGCAATTGCGCCCCCTTGGACCCCTATATATCTGTCAATGGTTACTTATAAGTTTGCCCCCCTTGAAAATTGTAGCTGATTCTTCCTCTGATTGTAATTGAAAATAATATGGTGCTTATTCTGGCAGCTTGAATATTGACTATAAAATGTTGAAGAGTTATTTATTTGATAATTTATTTTATGTTATGATTTTATAATTTTTCACATTATATATATATATCTTAAAAATCAGTTATTTTAGCAAGGTATTAATATGCACAATATTGAATTGTTGGATGAATACAATGAAAATTTAGTGTAATTTTTAATATTAAAATTATTGAATAAATGGCCATATTAATAGAAATTTTAATTTTATTACTCTTGAAAAACATCAACCAACCAAGTATCTACCTCTCTACATCTAACTCATTAAGCCTCAACATTGCCTCCACAATATTAGTCCAACAAGCAAAACAATAATATAATCCCTTCTCAAATAAGTCTCCATTCTTAGTTCTAATGAAGAGGATCATAATCAATTAGTCTCCAACTTGTACTTAGGGTTGATTGGTCAGTTGTATAGGCAACCCATTTCAGAAACAATGAAAAATAAAGCCCCTCCAAAGGCCAAAAATTTGGCCTATCATTCCTCTAAATATTAATGAGTTATCCAACATTACCTTTTGGAATGTGAGAGGATTCAATGGAATGGACCATGTTCTTAGGTGTAAGAACATTATTCATTATTTTAATTTTGATTTTTATTTAATATTTTTGAGGGAAAATTAGCAATACTCAAATCATGGATCAATGGTTCTGTAATTCCCATATACTTTTTGATAATGAAGGTACTTAACATGTCAGTTTCAGACAATACTTGTCTTTTAAATATGGTTTGCTACGTTTTAGTGAAAATCATATTCTATGGAAGTAGACATGTCATATCAAGTAATAAAGACATGAGAAGAATAACATTCCCATGAGGATTTGATACAACCCTAAAATCACTATTGCACATGCTATGTTTTATCTTATCAATTGATTAACAAGGGATGAAGCAATTGAAAGTAAATGCTACAATTGTAAAAGATAAATTTAATAATTTTAAATACTCTGAACTTATGATATATAAAAATATATGTTTGTAATAATTATATTATTTGTATTATTGTTGTGATTTATAGCATATATAGTTATCATCTCTTTTGAGCTCGTTGGAGCATTAACTAAGATTCCTCCTAATTTTAATTTTAATATATCCTTATGATCCCATAACCCTAACCAGTCTATGTCTATTCATGTTAAAGTTATATTTTAATAATTCTTCTATTCTTCTATCAAGGCTATAGATTACACTAGATTTTAAATTTATGCAAAGCCTTTACATAAATAAAACAAGAACAAGAAATTTAAAAACAGCATTTAATAATTCATAAAACTTAAAATCTACTCTATGCAATACATGATTTCTAAAGTATCATAAGCTCAAAGAAAAGATTTTATCCAGTCATAAAAATAAAAGTAAACATAATAATCAACTTTTTTTTTTTTTGGGTAAATATAATAATCAACTTCATCTATACGTAAACAAAAACAAGCCTAGATAAGGAACTTGTATTCGGTCCAGTGAACGTACGCTCCTCTACGTTCGGCCACCAATGTTTTAGGGCGCCACGTAGCATGAGAAAAAGACGCGACCGACCTGCTGTTTTTTGGGATTCTCGCACGTGCGTATTTTTTAAATACATTAGAGCTGAACAACATTCCATCACCTTTGAGATATATTTCAAATACTAGCATACCGAGCAAATACCGAGTTGTACACGTTTTTTTCTAGCAATACCGAGCAAATACCTAGCAATACCGAGCATGAATCCTAGCAAATACCGAGCAAATCCTGAGCAAATACTAAGTTTACCGATTTTTTCTAGCAATACCGAGCAAAATACAGCAATACCGAGCAAATCTCGCAATACGAGAATCCTGAGCAAATACCAAGTTGTACCGAGTTGTAGAAAAACTCGGTACCACTCGGTATTTGCATGGTATTGGTTTTTCACATAGCCGATTTCTCAATTTTTGCAAAGCAATATCTAGCAAATACCGAGCAATACCGAGAAAATCGCGAACATAGCATTCCCGGGTTCTGCTACGAGTCAAGTCGTCGGGCCGCGCGGTAAAGAGTAAGAGCATGTGGTGACATGTTATTGGCGGCCGAACGTAGCTCTACGTTAGGTCAGATGACGTAATAATTGTTCCTAGATAAGAAGCATGATAGAAATGACCAAAAAAATCTTTTGCTAAATATTTATTGACTCCTTGCACTATTTACTTCTCTCCACACTAGTATATAACTAACATAACAGGTATATAGGGGTTGCCTCCACCCAAATACTGCCTCACACACTCCGATAATCACTCCCTTACAATTCTCCCACTCGTCAACTGTCTTTATATAAGTTACTATTTATAGAAATCCAAAATAGGACTACGACACTAGTTTGGTGGCATTACGAGGCTTCCAAACTATCATTTTGGTTCACCATTCATTGCATTGGTTTGCATGATCAACGGTTTCCAACTGTCTTTCATCGCAGCACTAGGGCGATTTGGCGCTACGGCTTTGAGGTAAATTGTAGCGCTATGGCATTAAATCTATGGCTCTACTCCATTTTTTTGTTTTTTTTTTTTAATTTTATACACAAAATGATATATTTAGCTAGCACTTTTATAACAATATATGTAATTTGCAGTATGCAGTTTCTCTACTTATCAAATTCCCCCAAATTTTATTTTATACTACAAAGGGATTAAATTTATTTTGCTTCAATATGATTTTTGAAAAAAATATAAAATCAATAATTTAAATATTTATGAAGTACATAAGTTGGAAGATTTTTTAATAAAATAATTCATAAAAGCTCATTCCTTCACTCTTGATTAATATTTCTTTTAAATTAAAGTCCCTAGGGTGTTGGTGATATTTTTGACTACTTACACAGGGTTTTTTATTTTTGGAATAAATGGAATTACATATTTAGTTAACTCTTAAATCAACCTACAAGCTTTCTTTAAGTATAATGATATCAATAAATGAAATTTTTAAAATTTTGATATTTAGCTTTTTATTTTATTTTATTTTATTTTTTTCCTCTTTTTTCTTTTAAATTGGCTAAGCACCTTATAATGATTTTGAATACATGTCTATTGCCTCCACTTTTTATTTAAATGTGGGAGCTCCCTCTCGTTTTTCCGCTCAAACCGTGAGAAATGAGGGATAGGGGCTCGGTTTGGTCATTTTAGGGAGAAGGGGGTATGCCAAATGACACATATGCCCTTACTTAAGTAGATTCGGCCTTAAGAAAGCTTAGGGGTAGTTTGGGCATTAATGGATTTCTAAAAATTATATCTCTTAATTTAAGCGAAATTTAATACAAGTCCTATATATCAATTTGATCGGAATTTTACGCTCAATTTTATAAAATTATTCCCGTCAAAATCCGACAACATTGAAATTTTCACTTAAAACTCGTCGCGGCGCTTTGAAAAGCGTGCGAAGCCTAAAACGACGTTTTCGGGTTTTACAGTTGGAGCATCATATGATCATATCGGGACTAGTTCCCTTGCTCGAGTCTTGTCAAATACTGCTCAAAGTGATCAACATAAACCTTGATCTGATCCACTACATACCAGAGGTTTGCCACCTAATCTCATAGCATCCTAGGATCTCTACCCCATGCTGACTAAGTTGGGTAGGCTGGCTAGATCCCTCTCCTCTAGATTTTAAAGAACTATATCTTTTATTCGGTTAGGGCAAACCCAAGAATGATATTGCTCCTCCCCTAGGTTTCATACTATCATGATCCAACTTGACATAACCCGACCAAATTACAAAGGCCATATAATGTTTGATTATGGCAAAAAAATAAAAATTAACCCCAATATACAATTGGAGAAACACAAATGAATTGAATATCCAAATTACACGACATAAAGTAACTACTGAATATAGTATAAAGTGAAAGACCACTTAATCTCAAAAATGATTTATATTGCAGGTCCCACCACCATCTTATAGAATTTTCCCTTAAGTTTGAAGGGTACTTTTCTATCACACAATGAAGAAAAATGATTCATGTAGCCGACCCCACGTAGTAGGACAAAAGCTTGATGTTTTTGTATAGTAAAACTTTTAGGGAAAAGATTCAATATTCCTAACTTCATCCAAACTTGAGCCAAACTCAAGTGAGCTATTAAATAAAATCTACAAGCTTTTGCACAATTATATTCACATGCATACACACATTTATCAAATAGGCACACAATTTAGAGCTTGAAGTGATCAAAGAATGCATCAACTACAAAAATCAGTTCTGCTTGAATTAGAGGAAAATCCAAGGAAACAAACTGTCAATATAAACAATAACATACTGGGCTAATGCCCCTCATTTCCTGCACAAAAAAAGAGAAGTTAAACAGTTACAAGCCTGCTAACATTAACCTAGCCTGTTGTAATACAAGCCTACCACAGTAACAAACACCCACACACTTACACCAAGACGTTATCACTAACTACAACCTGATTATACAGCAACTTCATTGCATCCTCCTGTCAACACCAGCTTCTATCTCATCAAGAGTTGGAGCCGAATCCCGCAAGGCCAAATGGTTCTGGCCCTCGGATTGGATATACATAGGCTCGATCGAGGCCGGAATCACATTAAGATTCTCTGCAGCAATGGAAGTCGAGCCGTTTCGAGACTGTGACTCAGCAAGCATAAAGAAATATGCATGAGGGCCCCAACCTGCAAGGCAAGAGGTTCTTTTCATTCAGTGGATGGCACAGGATTTGTGAAGTAATGAAGTTTTACAATTTTGCTGCATTTGTAACTCTATCTATACAGCAACAGAAACTGAGGCTTCGTTTGGGACGACTTTTTTATTGCTTCTTAAAGTAGATTCTTAGTACAAAACTAAAATTTTATACTAAAAAACTGCTTTAAGAAGAAATAAGAAAGTCATCCTAAACAAAACCTAACTGTGTTTCACAGAACGTACAAATGTCATCAATATTACGACTATACTATTTTTTAATACATGCAATATGTCGTTAAGTGAAGTATCCTAGATAACTATTAACAAATACGCTCATAATTTATCTCTATTCCTCCTAAATAAATAGCAGCTAACTTTTTTATTTATTTGAATAGTGCCACAGTAGAAAGAAAAGGTTCTGTTCACTTAGACTAACCCAAGGATGCTAAAAAAAATTAAGGGTATAGTTCTTTCTGATAATCTGACCAACTGAAAAGCTTGACGATATATAGTCTCTCTTTTTTCTTTAAGAAAATAGCGCACAACTCAACAATTCAAATCTTCTCCAAAATCTCTCACTTATGGAATATTGGAACCAGCAAGGTAAATACAAAGTAAACATACCATCTGTATCATAAGGGGGTGGGAAGAACTGCAAATAACAAAATGAAGCAACCACCAAACCTGAGAAACAGATAAACAGGAAAATTGTAAGAAACGCAGCCAAATAACATGGCATTTCAGAAAAAAGGAACATAAATTATATGAGAAATGCAAATCAGTCTAGCAAGAACCTAAAAGGCCCCCTGCAACCACATCTTGCCAGTGATGCCAATAGTCATCCACTCTGGAAATTGCAATAAAAGAAGCACAGAGGATGGGAAGGAGCACTATGCAAAGTTTCGCTACATGGCCCCTTCGATCAAATGCTTTGATTTTCCCGGCCAAATACCACGAAAAAAAGCCTAAGCCAGCAAAGGACCCTGTATTCATAATGGATCCTGAGTTCATGAAGGTATTCAGGAATATTAACACAAATGCAAGGAGCATGAAATATGAAAAAAAAAGATAAACAAATGATGATGATGATACGTTATTCTTGTTCTTCTTATTATTAATCTCTTGATTTTGAAGTTTGAACATTTGGCCTGTCAATGGGGTGAGCACGGGGTTCAGTTTAAAACTGTTTAAAACCAAACTAAATAAAAAATTTCATCAAATCTGAAACAAAAATCTAACTGCCATTATGGCAAACCAAACCAAACCAAACTGACTGATTCGGTTTAGTTTGATTTCGATTTAATTTTCAATTTAAGAACTTAAATCTTTAAGAATCAATTTTTAAGATTCGGGCAAAGTTATGTTTAGTTAATTTTGATTTTAAATTTCTTTCAATAAATTGGATTGAATTTATTCAATTTTATAGATTTATTCAAAATTGATGAATCATTGAAGCATTTATAAGGTTGCATGGTACATCAAAGAAGGCTTATGATTCCAAGTGAATTAATCGGAGTGCCACAAGGAAATAAAACTTAAGTGCAAGATTAATAATTCATATATTATAAATAATATTTAATCGATACGATTTGATTTATTTTGTTTTAGAAACCTTTAAACCCTAACCAAACCGAATAAATCAGCTTAAAAAAGAATGTCAAACCTAAACCAAAATCAAATCAATCAGGTAAGTAGTTTTTTTGTTTACTCTTGCTAGTTACATGACAAAACAATCACTTGACCACCATTATAAAGTACCATAGTCAGAAAAGTATTACACAGCTCCTGCATGGTTATTCTTAATCAGTGATTGTTTCATTCACAAAAAAAGGTTAAAAGAAGGTATCAACATTACACTACCAATTCAGGAAGATCAAAGAGATACAGTACATCATTATTTTTTTTTCTACATCAAATATGGTCATTCAAGGAGACGGCTCAAATACTCGAGGACACAAAAATATGTATAAGTTAATATTGACTTGCAAGCTTGGCACTCCGAGCACATAAAAAAAATGAAATGGCAATGCTTACTTTTCAAAGAATTTAATCAAAGTTTTAGATCATAGAATAGATGATCTGATAGGAAGCAAACCACTGCAAAGTATCTCCAATGCAATTATATGATCCACCCCCTTGTGACTTGAGAGATTCATAAAAGACATGTCGAGAAAACAAAAATGCATAGCTTATAAAATAAACGATTCAACTGACAGAGGCACCATCTTCCATATAACAAAGTCTAGGACTCCACCAATCATGTTTTGGACATCTGAAGCATAATAGTAGTAGGATCCACCAAATGAGTTTACAACTTACATGAAGAATGGCCGCTTGGAAAACTCTTGTGTCCTTCTTTGATAACACTTTTATCCCCATGACATATAACAATTGTAGTAATCTTATCATAGAACTGGAAAAAAAAAAACATTTCAGCATCAGGGAAAACAACCTAATTCTAAACGATAATAACTTGTAACTGAAGAACATTGCAGTAGAACCTACGTCTTTTCCATCAGGGAAACATCGCCAAAAGAAATCTGGTCGTGGTCGACCAACTGCATCCTTAATTGCATCGGTTAAGACCCCAGTAATAAGCACAGAATACAGAAGACCTGTTCACATGTGCTAGTTAATGAAAAAATTGCTCATATCAGACCATTCTGGGTAAGAGAGGAAATCATTACCTAGCACGGCATTGTGGAGATCATAGACATTCTTCTTTTTGAAGTATATACCAAGGGTGATAAAAACTGGTAATACAATCCCAATCATCTGTTTTTATGCAAAAAACGAAAAGGAGGGGACGGGGACGTACAGGTTGCAGATAATGCATCAGCTACTGCCAAGGTTCAACAACATTATATAATCTAATAGAAGTAAAAGTTGTAATTTACCGGCACAACCCAAAATGGTATTGTATTACTCTTCAATGGATATCTCAGATCTGACATCATATCTCTTCCCACAAAACGATGAAAAGGTTCTATAACATTTAATATGATATCTATAATGCCGAGAATTACAAGTATGATCCAGTCATGCATATGAAATCTTGCTATTTTGATCCCATGTGTTCTTATAGTATGAGCACCAAGCTGAATATCTGCCATTTTCACCTAGCAGAAGGTATTGGAAGACAGATTTATAAGCACAACCATCATCTGCAATTATTAGTTAGTGTTGGCAAGGAATAACCAGGTAAATAAGAACGAAAACCAAAAGTCAGACCTTGTCTTTTAATTTTGATAAAACCTTCGGAAAAAAAGGAAGCGTGCTCATTAAGAAGTGCAAATTTGATAGTGTGATATTGCAATTAAACTTTAGCTAAATCTCAACCAAGATAAGTTCCTTGCTAATAGATTTATGAGAGTAAAATGCAGATGATGGAGAGTAGTAAGTCCATTTAGAACTTACTGAAACCCTACTTGTCTGTGACTCAATGTGACGCAATATATTTCTTCTTGAGAATGTCACAATATCTTACCAGAGTTTGCAAGTCCACCAAGGAGTTCAACAATCCTCCAGGATTGTCAACTAGATTCTTACTCGATAATGCTAACCCATCATGAAGAAGGTAGATTGCATCTCAAGATCAGTGGTCAGAGCCCTTCTCAACGATCAAAAAATCATAATGGCAGGAGTCAAATTTTGACTGTCCTGATGGTTGTTGGGTAACTATAACCCGTAATGGAAAAACTCAAGTTGAATCCAAAAAGGCTTTTGATTTTTCCTTGATGCTGTTGATCAAAGCCTAACTCGATGATCGTAAATTTGGAATGAAAGAAGATAAGTTGAATCCACCATGAATTTTGACTACCTCCTTTGGTTGTTGCTTAAAGCCCTAGTTGATGACCATAACCCTTTAGGAAGTATTTAGGTTGAATCCCCTAAGAACATTGACTCTCTTGGAGTTGACCATAACCCTACTCAAAGTATTCAAAGAATGTAACCTAAGATGGAGGAAGTTAGGTTATACATATTACATAGAGATGTGACAATAAATTAAAAGAATAACTTTCATTAATGAAAGGATAAGAAAGGGCTTCTCATTATAAATAGACTAAATGACTTAAAAATCAACGAAAGAAAATACGAAAGGTTGACATTAACTGATAATCATATTCCAAATTAAGAAAAGTACTCAATGCTAAAAAAGCCTCAAAGCAGGAGCATTTTGATGAGCTTGGAGTAGTTCTGCGTTTAAATGTGTTGTATTTTACGGTTGAGGAGGAGCCTAAACTGGATGATCGGGGATATTCCCCTGAAAGAGGAGCATCTTTTTTGGGATAAGCACCATGAAATATCTTCTTATTGTGGAAATCAAAATTGTTGACATGAGTGGTTTTTACCTGGAGGGGTTGAAACTGGTGAATGCAATAGTAGTGTACAATGGACTAGTCACCCTTGACTATCCAAATACTAGCAAGCATTAGGGAACTCTAGCTTTTAAGTGTGGTATAAATATGACTTCTGAAAATAAATTATACAGCCTATCAAAGATCATATTTGTGAATTCGATATTAACCACCACAAATTGAATGGAGTTCATGGCTTGCCTTGGGACTTTTCAAAAGTAATTGGTAGAGAGATGGTGCCTTCAACTCTGAAAAAACAGTTACGAAAGTTGAGGGCATTGGCAGCCGGTTGTACTTTCTTCTTAAAAAGGTAATGCTATGGAAAGTGGAATAAAAGAGGACATCGACAAAGCTTCCAATATCGAAGAGGACTACTTTTCACATTAAAAAATAGTTTTCTAATACAGACATTGATGGCCAGTAAATCCATATTTGGGTGTTCGACTCTCTTGAAGTCCAAGTCATTGAAGGCAATGGATTGATTGAGGAAATGTAGTTTGAGTGAAAGTTCTTCCATGGAGGCAAGAAGGGTTTGACTCAATAGAAGATGTCCTCCAAAAAAATAGTGTTAATTTTCCCCACCACTAATCAGTAGCCATGGCATGCAATTGTGATCAATTCAGCCACACCCCCAACAGATCAATCCAGGAGTGACAATTCTTATTCTGGAGAATGTGACTGAGACAGTCCTGTGTAAAGAGTCCCTATATCTCTTACAATGTTGTTAAGCTTTTGTGGTGTGTCCAAGGTTTAAAATTGCGTAATTGGGTATTGAGGTGTTTTTCGTTCATGAGGCGAGGCGTAAGCCTCAAGGCGTTTTGAGGCGTAAGCCTCAAAATTTAAAAATTGCGTAAAGTAAAAAATAAAAGTTAAAAGTGATTTTTTATATAATATCTAAATATTATGTTAAAGGATGATATATTAACTTTCTATTGAACTATGAAGTAACAAATTTATATAAATATGAAAAAAAAATTACACAAAATATAAAGTGATAAATAATAAATTATATGAAAAAGAATTGAAATCCAAATATCACATAAGAAAAACAACATAAAATATATGAATTGCATAAACGTATCATATAGCATCAAGTTTAGCTCTAAATTTTTTCTTTATCAATTTCCTACTCATCTACATTTAATTAATAATAAACTTAAAATAATTGACAACAAATCATAAATCATATGTACTACATTACTAAGGGGATTTTTATTTGAGTCGTCATAATAAATTGGCATCTCCTTTGCCTCAACCTGTAAAGTCCAATACCTGTCAATCTACCTTTTTATTTATTTCAACCATCTTCCTTTTTCATAAATGTTTTTAATCAACATAAAATAAGAGTAATAGTTAAATTTTTATAGGAGATGGTGGCGGTATACGGATTTCAAGTGATCCCCGGCAGCAACTATGACGGTGCTGGCTACGGCGAAGGTGGTGAGCTGGAGGTCGAGGTAGTTGAGAGGAAGTTAATGTGGCTTTAGAGCGCAAGAGGGCATGATTTTTTTGAGGCTTTTGTATAGGATTTAACTCAGTTTTAAATAATAACATACAAAAATAGAGCGAGGCGTATGCCTCAAGCCAGCGAGGCGAGGCGCGCCTCACCCAAGATGAGGCGTAAGCCTCATAATAAAAGTTCGAGGCGTAAGCCTCGAGACGTTTTTCACTGAAATTGCGCTGAGGCGAGCCTCATATTGTGCAATTTTAAACAATGGGTGGTCCATGACCATGATTGAAGTCACAATATTAGATTTAATTTATGATGTTTGGCTTGAGCTAGTTCGACCATTTAAGATATTTGCCATTCTATAATGCTTTGGATCAAGAGTTATTAAGTGATGAGTACTCCCTCTTTTGTTGTTTCCCTTTTTTTAGATCACATGAGAAAGATCTCGCTCTTAAGTTTACTTATCCTTTTTGTCGTATGGTTTCCAAGTTGAACCCCCATTAGAGATCCTTCTTTTTGCTTAAGCCTATTGATGGAGTGCTTCGATAGTCTTATTAGCTAAAATCTGAGCCTGACACCAATAAATGAGTTCCACATAAATGCGAACAATATATTGCATCAGAATTGAGTAGAAGAGTCTAGGGAGAAGCCCTTCAGTAAAGACGACTCACAGGAGTTTGGGGTGGACAGCTAGAATTTGACAAGATTCACTAGATAATCCCTCATTACCGCAAATCTAAAAAATACACCAAGAGTCCTTTATAATCCTCTTGTTCACCCTTAATTGGTTAGCAAAAGGCATGCTTGATTCAACAAAGTTGTTGACAGATCCAAAATGATGATAGTAAAATTAGGTTCAAACTTGTTCCTTGAGCATAGCCAGAAATAATTAACATAGTAACAAATCAAAGGGACATTGTATGTGCATGATTGCCCCTACAGTGGTCAATGAACTCATATGGATCAATGGGGCAGTTGTATGGGTTTATTGTGAGCAACTTAAACCCCAATGGAATAGACAAGAGAAGAATTTGGTGTGGAAACAACTCCTGGAAGTCATACTGGGAAAGATGTTGATTCCTACTAGCACCACAAGAGATACAATTCTCTTACAAGTGCAAAATTCATCTCGAAGGATGTGACAAGAGATGATGGCAAGATGATACAAAAGAAGTTAAATTGTTAAATATTAGACTTTAATTAATATTGATGAAAGATCAAGTTATGTTATTTTTGAAAAAAATAAGATGAGTACACTCTTTTCATTTAAAAGCTTGAAATGGAGAGGTGCCAAAAGAGAGCTATTCCAAATAAAATATAATGGAAACTTAAAACTAAATTCTATAATAATAACATTAGATTGGTTGTGATAAATTGACCCAAGCTTTGTGCAAATAGTAAATAATAGTTATGGGTGTGCATTGCATTGGTTTTATTTATTTGATTTACAGATTAACTAAAACAATTCGTTTCAATTCTAAAATTCAAAAAACTAAAATGACCAAATTATTTTCCAAATCAAATCAAACTTTAGTTTGATCATTTTGGTCCAATTATGGATGAACCAAAATGTAACTAACAATAAATTAAATTACCTTGAACATAAATAATATATATTAAGAAGAATATCAAGTAATCTTTATTAAAATTTATACTTTTAGCATAAGGAATAAATAATATCCACATTGATCTTTGTGTCACTTGATTATTTATTGTTCATAAGTCTTATTGATTAAATATTTAAAGAAATTAGTATAATTTTATTTTTTTTTTGGTTTGATCATTTTACAGAAACAACAAACAAACCAACAACCAAAAACTAAATAAAGTTAAATTTTGCAGCAAAAAATTGAACCAATACTTTAACAACTGAACTAAACAACCAAATAAGGTTAGTTCACTCCAATATATTTTATTTATCCCAACAATATTCAGCCTTATTAATAGCCAAGCTAAATGAAGCAAAATATAAATTTGTATAAAACAAGGGTGAATGGCAACAAAAAATTGCATAAGCCATAAAGTGATAAATGATAAATTACGTGAAATAGAATTGAAATACAAATATTATATGAGCAAAACAACATAAAATATAGGAATTGCATAAAAGTGTCATATAACATCAAGTGCAACTCAAATTTCCTTCATTCAATGTTTCCTACTCATTCACATTTAATTTTTAAATAAAGCTAAAATAGTTGGTAACAATTCAAATCATCTGCACTGAGAGGGGGAATTTATTTAAGTCGTAATCATAATAAATTGTTCTCCCCTTTGCCTCAACCTATGAAGTCTAATGCCTATATTCTACTTCATCTTCATTTATTTTAGTCATCTTTCTCTTTCACAAATATTTGTCATCAACATAAAGATGAGAGTAAAACTCTAAAATTTTTGGAGGAGGAGGTGGTGATGGTGTGCGACTTCCAAGTGATCCTCAACGGCAGCTACAATGGTAGTGGCTAAAGCGAAGGTGGAGAGTTGGAGGTCAAGAGTTTAAAGGAAGCTGTTGAAACTCAAGGGTGCATGAAGGAATGATCTGTTTGGAGCTTTTGTTTAGGATTTTGATAAGTTTTAATTTAAAAATATATAGGTAGTGTGAGGCGTGTGTCTCACACCATCAAAGCCAGACGTGCCTCAGCCAAACTAAGTCATGCTTCATAAAAAAAATTCTTGAGGTGTGAGCCTTGAGATGTTTTTCACTTGAATTATGATGAGGTGGGCGTCAAGGCGAGTTTCATATTGCATAATTTTAAATAATATATTAAATTGGTAGCAGTGAATGACACTTAATGAAGATAAGATAGTGAAAAAAATATTTAGGTGATTTGGATTTGTTCAAAATAAGGAAAAAGAAGCACCAATAAGGAATGCCAAAAATAATTAACAATGTACTATGAACACAAAAAGATAAATAAAATATATCAGGGCTAGAAATTGTTGAACAAAATAGAGTTAGCACCTTTAAATAACACTTAACATGATGATGGAGAAATTATGAGTGCTAGCCCAAAAGCTAAAGAAAATATTGTATAGCAAGCCTATGAATCCCTAATGGTTAATCAACGGCTCTTATTTAAGAAAAAAAAATTTATACACCACCAATTCATCCACGCCATCGAACTATATTTGCCATTGGGATAGACCACTAGAATGCAACCTATTTCACTTCTTCTGGAGTAGCTCCAGTGGAAGAAAAGATTAGAGAGAGTTTCCTTAGATGGTTTAGTCACATAAAATGGCGGCCTTACTGATGACCCGGCTAGGAAAGTAGATGTATTATATTTGACTTATGTTAAGAAAGGTAAAGGTAGACCTAAAAAGGCTTGGTTAGAAAATATTAGAAATGACCTTTCTTTATTAGATTTAAATGAGAATTTAACTTTTAAAATTGCACAATGGAGAAAAAAGATTCATGTAGCCGACCCCACATAGTGGGATAAAGGCTTGATGATGATGATGATGTTGTTGTTCTAGATAGAGTAAATTAGTACGAACAAGTAGATTCTGAATCCTACAGCCTCTCTTCTGTTCCATTGGAACAGATTGTGTAAGCTAACATCGATTTCAGGGGTTCAAAATTCAAATTTTAAAAAAGGAATCCTGCATCATTTGGAAAATTGGAATATATCCCAATCATAAAATATAACCGAGGGCATACAACAGTACATGCTTGAGCATAGTCAACGAGGACCAGAACAACTAAGTAAAAGACAGAAATTGCTCAAAACCGACACGATAGATCAAATTAGCTTGAAAAGAGTTTTCGTCTTACCTTAGACCTCTCTTCAGGACGGAGCAGCGGCCTTTCGTCCACGTCTGAAACCGAAATGCGACTATCCTCTGCAAAAATCGTATCAATCAGCAAACTCCAAACCTAATGCTTCTCCAAAGAGTCCAACAAACCATAACATAAAGAGAGCAAAATCTCATCCTTACCACGAAGGCGGAGGCCTCCCTCCGCCGCTCGCCAAGCCAAGAGTGAGAGAAAGACAAATGCAGACGAAGACAGTAACAGATGATGTGAGAGTACTTCCTTTTTACAGAATTCAACAAATCACATCGGCCGATTGCGACAATCCACCAAGACGAACTTCGCTGTGAAAGAGAGCAAGGATTTCAGTGGTTCAGGGCGAATTTGAATTCGAGAATGGAAGATACGATATTCTGTGTTAGTTGTTTCTCAGCGGATCTGAGACTGATCATTGAAATTATATTGAAGGATGATTCCACAGGTCCACAAATTAAAAAAAAAAAAATAGAAGAACATTAAACAATGGCAAGATATTGTTTTGGGGTCAGTTATTGCAGAGTCGTGGGCCCATTTTGCTGTGAAGCAGATCCATCATAATTATACATTTAAAAAATATAGGAAATTTTGTTTTTACTAAGGTATATTATTTAGGGTAAATTTGATTTTATAGGCTTATAATAATTATAATTGGAAAGATCTATTTTTAATTAAATTTTTAAGGAAATATATTCAAAAAAATTATTTTGTGTTAAAACATTCTCGTTTTTTATAAATTGAAGTCAAAGTGATCATTCAATAGTTGCACAATCTTTCGTAGTAATATGAAATCCTTGACTATTTTTCTTACAAGGACATTCCCTCGTCCTGGTAATTACAGAGTGTGTGTTCATGGTGTGGCAAAGCTTCATAGCCTCTCAATTTATTATCTATTCATTGTTAATGATATTATATATTTGGTTATTTATATTTGGATATGTTGCTCACTCTAAAATCCTAAATCCAGAACCTCATTGAATATATAGTGCCTGCTACAAAATTGTTAAAACCATCTTCGAATCACAGTTAAAAAAAATCAAGATTGTTTGATCAGATTTAAAGATTGTTCAATCATGATTTGATCATTCGATCATAGTTCAATGAAGATTAGTTTTATTTTGTCCCCATTATCTATTCTAAAATTAACTCATTTGAATCATTTTACTATTTCTGCTTATGTATGTTCTAATCATATATGTAAAGAGATATTACAATAGTCGGGTTATAAAGTTCGTGTGTGATGACAAAACTAGTTAAATAATTTAAGTCTAATGAAAACTCATTAAAAAAATTGTGAGATCATAAAGAAGGTGAAAAGATGTAACCAATGATGTTATATTTGAAGAGCAGGTGCTAGCAGGAAAAGATTTTCTATTAATGTAGCTGAATAAAGATAAAAGTGTGGAACATTTATTTAAATCAAGCAATTTTTTAATATAGTGGATTATTATTATAAATTACTTCCTAACTTATTCTTTACAAGAGATTATTCATCATACACACTGGTGCATAGGGCTAAGGATGAGCACTTCTAGAAGTCCATTTTACGTACTTCTAATCAATCCATTTGGTTAGAGTTGAGGAAAAAAAAAAGAGCAAAATTCTTTTTAAGGAGAAAGAAGGAGAGGAAGCAAAAGCACAATCAACTACAAGTAAGTTAATGCATTCCTATGAAGGGTTGAAGCATCTTTTTGTTATTATATAAGAGTTGAAGAGTAGTCAACTTAGATTGGAGAAAAACCAAATGCTCTTACCATACTTATTTAAAGTTTTGCATATAGGGAAGTGAATAAGAAAGATAATGATGAGGTGATTTCTATTGCTCATATGTTTATTCATTTGAGATTGGAGCATAGTCTAATTTGAAAAACTAATTAAACCCACTATATGTTTATATAGTAAGGTGATAAATCAATTTGTTTATTAATGGGATGAATTTTTTGAACAGTTGAATACACTTCAACTTTTTTTATTGCAACATATGAATTATCTATGTCAACTTACAAGAGATAAATATGATGGTAGAAAAAGACCTATAGATCAAGCATCATTGTGTTGCATAAATTATTTGATCAGCAATGTAGATTAATGATCTTCACGTATAATAAGTTAATCAAGTGGGTAAATAAGTCATCATATTTGTCATTAGAATTGAGAAAATGTTCATGAAGTCATAGGTTGATGTAGAGCTTATATATTTTATAATGAATTGGAATTAAGTATGTTTGATGATATATGAGATCTTATTTCTTTAAAAAGCCTCAATATTTTATTATTTTGACCCCTCTTACACTCTTTCCCATACCTTACAAGAGATAATGAGTTTATTTTATAAGAGTTTCTCTAGATTGCTTGAGATGTCAGAGTTATTTTGATAACAAGAATTATTTTGAATCAAATTTACTTCGAAATGAAAGAGTGCTATGACATATGGGGTTCCTAGGTTCATACTAAAGTAATCATATGAATTTTTTTAAAAAAATATAATTAGCACTTGCAAATATAATCTAATGTGTGATTTATATCTTTTCTATAGTAATGACTAAGGAGTGTATGCAATACAATTCACATATATTTACTTCAAGAAATTAAAAAATATTTTTGAAATCACACGTAATTATGTATAATTCTACAAAAATTATTTATGTGTAGATTTATTTTATAATAATATAGATTCATAAATCCATTAAAAAAAGATTGATTACATATTATTTCATTAATCAAATATATATATATTGGTTATATTTGTTATAAATATTTATTTTTTTACTAATATTTTTTTTTATAAAATCTATAGTATTGTAGCTCTTGTATTGCACTATATTGTATTATGATTTTTCTATTATAGCTTGTGAACATTATATTGTATTATAGATGTTGTGTTGTAATTTTTGTGTTGCACTTTGTTGTATTATGGCTATTGGATTGCCCTTTATTGTGTTATAGATATTGAATCTCAGCCTATTGTGTCTACCTTATAATTTAATGGTTTATAGCTATTATGTTTGCATTATTGTGTATCAACCTTAAAGTATGTTATGTTAAGGTTATTGGATTTTGCTCTATTGTATAACCGTAGGCAAACTCTTATTGAACCCACTTTGATTAAAGTTCAAAATCTATTTAAACAAGGTTAAAAGTGTATTTAAACCTTGATTGAGCCTTGCCCAAACCTTATTCAAACTCTATTCAAATAATATTAAATAAGATTCAACTTTTATTTGAATATGGTTGAAATTTTATTCAAACCAATGTCATTCACATCAGAATTGAAATCAATAATTTCCACGATCAAAAGTAGGGTACTTTGGTCTAAAATGAACTATTCGATATATTTTTTTCAAGGAAATAAACAATGAGCATATTTCTCTATTTACAATCATTTTGAAGCATACAAAGTTAAATTTCTCTTATTAATTATTTTTTTTCTTATGTCACAATTCATGCTTTTTTTTTTTTTACTTTAGATATGCTTCTATTATTTTGTATGGTATCAAAACGTGCACATCATGTTGTTCAATATTGATTATGCTTAACATCATGCATATTCTTACAGATTAAGTTGCATTAAATTTTGAAATAATTTATTTAATCATTCATATTATTAGGAAATTAAGATTGAAAATATAAAGAAGTTTACATAAAATTTTATTTTTAAACTTAAATTTTAGTTTTGTATCTATATTTTATCAATTAAAAGTATCAAATTTTTGTGTGTATTTAAGTATACAATTTTGTGCTTCCCAAAAGTGTATGATTATGAGCTCTTCTATCATATTAAAAATGATTTTTGAAAAGTTTATTTTAAATTATTATGAAAATTAATTCTTTAAAATATATAATATGATTTGTTATGATGAGTTCCTTGATCATTACATGAAAAGAGTTATATTAGAGCAATAGTTAGGTTGAGGGATTATAAATGGGCATTAAAATCATTGATCTCACTTTGATATTATGAGATCTCCTAACTTAAATTTCAACATTTTGCATCTTGGTTCTCCATTCGAGGTTGAGCTGAACAATTTGGTGAAACTTTTTTTTTTTCTTAAGATCATGGCATAGTCAACCCAGCCCTTAGAAGAGTAAAAAAAGGCAATCCTATGTTCAAACCCTTTTTGTTAGTCCTTATATTGATTAGTCTTGAGCTTTATTCAAGAAACTCAGCAACTTAGGTGCAAGAGTTTAACCAGCTTTGTATAATCAAATTTGATAGTCAATTGGACTATTAGCAATTGGACTAATAAAACCATATTTAATTCTTCCTAAAATGGACCATTTTTAGCCTTAATTCCCCTTTTGTAATCAGTCTCCTAAGTGTGTGATTAATAATGAGAAGTCAACCTTACCTTTTGTAAACATCTTTGGCTAACATTGACAAATAATGCTCAGTCATTTTCTTTCATTCTTGGCAAATTGATTTATCTTAACTAACTTATATGAGGAACTTGTCCCATCTCATGTGAGTTCTCTCAAGAGCTCTTGATGACCTCTCTAGGAAAGCTGATTTTATTATGGCTCACATTAGTTGACCCCTTTACTTACAAGAAAGCTTATATATGCTAGTGATTTATCTTTAAAACTTTTCCCTCCTCAACAAGATCTCTTGAGAGCTTGATTCTCAAAAATTCCCTAAGGACGTTTCTTCTTTTCTTGGTTAGTTTTTGTATTAGCAACTTGCCCAAAGAACTTGCTCTTTCATAGTGAATTCTCCCAAGAGCTCATCTCTTGGTTGTCGTTTCAAGAATGTAAATTATTAGTTTTTCAATCAACTTTGGCCAAAAATTTTTCTTCAGGGGAAGTTTTCCTTCATTGGAAACTTGCCCCCAAAAAACTTGTCCCTTGATAGTGAAATAGTTCAGTCATCCTTAATCAATTTCCTTTCTTCTCAGGGAATTTATCATGCTAACAATTTTCCCACTCACCCTTAATGAGTTCTCTTGATATCATGAGGAGGCTAGTTTTTATTGTTCTAACCAACCTTGGTTGGCATCTTCCCTTCCCACTCGCTCTTTCTTGATGAGTTCTCCTAAGAGCCCAACTATCATTAACCTTTTGAAGGAGGTGAATTTTTATATTATAGTCAATCTTAGTTAACATTATTATTTCATAAAGATGTTTCCTTTTATGGGTGAATTATCATGAGAAGTTCTCTTGAGAGTTTGTATTTAGGCTATTTACAAAGGAAGTCAATCTAATCTTATTGGTCGGCCTTAGCTAACAACTTTAGCTCCTAAGATTTTTAACAGTTTCCCTAAGGTTCATAGGGATTGGGATTGGTTTACTTCCAAAAATGAAAATCATCTTGGTGTGTCATGTTACAT